TCACTACAAGGAAATCTGGAAAACATAGGCTAGAAGACACTGGAACCTACATTGTATCCATGTAGTTCAACATCAAGCCACATGACAAAGTGCTTGAAGGCCAATTATAGATCACATTTTGTACCTATTTTTACAGTATGTTTTTGGAATTAAAACTAAAAGGTAAAAAAAAACCAAACAAACAGAACAACAACAACAGAAAGGCCTACTCTCCTTTGGTGGAAGGAATGGTTTCATTTGTAATTGAGCAAAGTTAAAGTTGAACTCATTTCCCATGTCAAGTGATCTTTAATGAAGTCTCCAGCTACCTTTACTACTTTGCAGATATCCTGCTTTCAGCATTTCTACTCACTGCCCCTCCTCTTCTGATCAGCCTGCAGGACTCATTAGCATTTCTGCCAATTTAACATTCTTGTGTCTCTTCCTTTGTTCATACTCCCCCTTTCCATCACATTTCCTCTTCTCCCCCAGCCCCAATAACTGCCCTTAAAATACTAACTACCAGGCCTCCATGAACCTGGGAATATTCTTTTCATTTCCCCATGGGAGCCAGGAATGCTTCAAAATGCTTTGCAGAATGACATTTCAAATGCCAATTTCTAGCTTATCCTTTTTCAGGCGATGCCATAGGAAATCTGATTTTGTGCTTCGGGGGAAACTCACCACAGTCTCTCTTTCTGCAAGCCACTGGAGCAATTTGAAGATCAGTAAGGATGCCTCAACTAGCAAAGAGTGGTTGAATTTATTTTAAAATGTTTCCTAAAGAGGATCTGTAGATAAAGGTCTCTAATTTACAGACCATCTGAAGCAACAAGAAAACTCCACTGTGCTTTTGGGCCAAGGGTGGGTGGAAGGAACCCTACCAGTTATAAAATTCTGTGAAAGATGAGAAGGAAAAATGTACTTGAAGGCTTAAAAAATTGATTTCCAATCCAGTAACTTGCTACTGGGACTGGGTGACCCATAGGCCAGAAGAGGCTCATGACTAGTTTTGTTTTTTTTTTCTTTTTAACTTCAGAGAATCCCATAACCAGAGAGTTGACCACCAAGTAACGAATTATTTTGGCATTGGTAGCTCATACACACTCAACGTGAGTCAACAGTGGGATGTGGCAGCCAGCCAATCAGTTAGTCAACAAACATTGATTAAGTGCCTTCTATGTGTCTGGCATTGTTTTAAGTGCCAGGGACACAAAGAAAGGCAGGAACACAGTCCCTGCCCTTAAGAGACTCAGACTCTAATGGAGGAGGCAACATGCACCAGACACACACAAAGTAAATGGAAGGTAATCTGAATACCAGGGCAACTACCAGGTGGTACAGTGGACAGAAAGCCAGGTCTGGAGTCAGGAAGACTTACCTTCTTGAGTTCAAATCTGGCTTCAGAAACTGGGCAAGTCACTCAACCCTGTTTGCCTCAATTCCTCATCTGTCAAATGAGCTGGAGAAGGAAGTGGCAAACCACTCCAATATATTTGCCAAGAAAACCCCCAATGGGGTCATGAAGAGACAGATTGCGACAACTCAACAACATTGACAACAACAAATCTGAATAAGGAAAGCACTAACAGTTGGGGTACTTGGAAAGAGCTCCTGCAGAGAGTGAGATTTGAGCACATTCTTGAAGGAAGTCAGGGAAACTATGAGGCAGAGATGAGGAGGAAGACTATTCCAGGCTTGGGAACAGCTGGTGAAAGAGCCCAGATAAGAGTTCAAATGTTATGTGTGAGAGGTATCAACAAGTAACCAAAAAAGCTAATTCAGTCTTGGGCTTCCTTACAAGAAGCATAGCTGTAAGGAATAAGAAGGTGAAAAACCCTTTGTACTCTGACCTGCTCAGAGCTGCATAATTGTGTTCAGTTCCAGGTGCCACAATTTCTGAAGGACATTGATGAGCTAGGAAGCATCCAGAAGAAGGCAACCAAGATGATGGGGGCCTTGAGTCATTGTCATATCAAGCAATCAACAAGCATCTACTATATGCTAAACTGTGTTAGGCCCTAAAAATACAAAGACAAAAATTAAATAAGTCCCTGCCCTCAACGACCATGTAGTCTAGCCTGGTGACGAAATTTACCTAGTCAATACAGATCAGCAACTGTTACGCAACTTACAATCTTAGAGGGTTGTCTGGGCCACTGACAGTTTAAGCAATTTGCCCACAGTCCAGCAATTAATATATGTCAAAGGTTGAACTTGACCCAAGGTCTTCTTGATATTTAGCTAGAATATATACACTATGCTATGATGCCTCTAAATACAAAGGAATATGAAGTAAATGTATATGGGAAGGGAGGAGAAGAATAACAACTAGAGAGATCAGGAAAGGCCACTCACAGAAAGTGGTGCTTAAGGCAAGTCTTGAAGGGAAGTAGGGATCCCAAGAGGTGGAGGTGAGGAAGGAGAATTTCCCATGAACGAAATGAGGTGGGGACAATCCATTCAAAGATATGGTGTGGGAGATGGAAAGTCGTGTGGGAGGTAAGAGCAAATAGACCTGTTTGGCTGAAATGTTGAGTTCACAATTAAGAGAGACTTGAGGAAATCAGACTAGGAAATCAATTGCTTTGAACCACATTGTGATGGGCTTTAAATTCCAAACAGATGAGTTTATAGTTTAACCTAGAGGAAGTTGGAATTTACTGAGACTTCCTGAACATAGGAGTGACAAATGTGCTTTTTGTTTGTTTTTGTTTTTTGGTGAGGCAATCAGGGTTCAGTGGCTTGCCCAGGGTCACACAGCTAGTAAGTGTCAAGTGTCTGAAACTGGATTTGAATTCAGGCCCTCCTAACTCCAAGGCCACAGCTCTATTCACTACACCACCCAGCTGCCCCAAATGTGCTTTTTGAATATGATTTTGCCAGCTGTGTGGAGGATAGATTGAGAAGAGAGATACTGGAGGCAAGAAGACCAATTAGGAGGCTACTAGAGTGTTCTTGGCAAGAGGTAATAAGGGCCTAAACAAAGGTGTTAGTCATGTGAAAGGCAAGGGACAAGAATTGACCAGATTTGGCAGCTGAGGACCTATATATTCTTCCACAGAAACATACACTAACCCTGAGAGAGGGAGCACAAGCCAAGAATGTACACATTGGCAATACAAGTAGTAGAAACCACACATGTTGCTAAGGCAACTCACACCTCTGCCACTGCTTGATGTCCCACAGAGCTGCTCCTTCACTGCGGTGACATCACGGGACAAGTTTCGTTCGTGGATAAGCGAGGGACCTCTGGCGCTCTCCGCTGCGCCGCTCTTTGCTGACATCTTCACTGAGCTCCTCTCTCCTACTCTCTGCTGCCATCTTCTGGTCCCCTGCCGCTATAGGACTTTTGCTCGGCTTTGGAGGTTCTTTTGCTGACAGCCGTCTAGTTAACTATTTTGTAGTTTCAGACACCAGCCGTCCACACCCAGACAGCTAGCCAGAGAACTTAGATATTTGAGCTATTTTTTTTCTTCTGATGCCATTGTGATCCTCTCTTCCAAACTTTTACCAGAGTGATGTTCAGAAATTTTCTTTCGTCTTATATGCCCTGGACGGCTAGCCTGGGTTTTCTCCATATCTTCCTAGGGAATTTACTTAGCAAACCTCCAAAAAGCCTGAGTGGAGCTAGGGTAAGGTATTCCTTTCAACCCCAACACATCCTGGTTGCCATTCATATAAACTCAGGAGCATTACTGAAAATAACCTAGTGGTAGTGCAGAATCTGGCAATCTTGAACTACCAAAATCTGTACTTAACCCCAGCACACAGCATCACCACTTAACCTCAAGTGAACTTCCACAAAGACTTTGTACTGGACAGCAGGATACAGTTTACAACAGATGTGATTCCTTTCTTCCTCCTATCCCCGTGTCTTTTCCGAAGACCCCTTCAAGGTCTTCTTCATTCTCTTACTTCCTGTTCTGGGTCCAGCATCTCAGCCCAGTTCCTTGCACATTGTAGGTGCTACAAGAATATTTATTGAACTGAACTGGGTCATTAGTCAGAAAGTGTCTTTCAGTCGGCACACCCAACTAACTATTTGTAGGGAAAGGCACTCTAGGAAGGAGCCCCTGGCTATGTTCCCTGCAGTTGACACTTGGCAACTGAGAAGATATATTCTTCCACAGATTCTCAGAACGGGATCTTTAGGTTTGAGTGATAAAGGCTCTCCCACCTTTTGTAGCTCAGATCGAGAGAGAAGACAGATCTGACCAGGAGCTGGAGTTTCCTTGCCTGAGAACCTAGCTCTTCCAGGCTTAGTACAATGAAAACAACAGCTCTTTCTTCGCAGCTATGGGCACGTGCGGATCATTCTCACGGTTCCTTACTTCCGTTTTAGTGGTCTCCTTATTTTCCTTCAGGCGTCCCCCCCCCCCCCCCCCCCCCCCCGTGCATGCTGTTTCAGCTACAGTACTTGATCAACCAGTGATTGGTGGCAAATATGTCCCCATCCAGGAGCCTGCGGGTGAGGGGTGGGGGGAGTGCGGTGGGGTGGAATCCTCCTATACCCGGGACTCCAGGAACATCTGAGGCTAGGGAGAAGTCTTGGGCAGGTAACTGGAGCCAGCGGGGGCCAGATCCGATCCCAGGAGCTAGACTGACTGTGAGGGTCCGCTCAGCTCCACCCCTGGCTGACCATGTGAAGAGAGCAGGAATGAGGAGGACAAACAGAGCGCAAGGGGATTGTGGAGACACTTCTCCAGTGAAGGAGAAGCAGCTAAGGGGAGGGGCCCTCGAGGGGGCGAGAGACTGATGGAGAGAGAGAAGGGGGGCCGGCAGCGGGCGGGCTTTGGAGAAGAGGGAGGAGGAGAGAGAGGCGAGTGGGGAGAGCACAGCGCGGGGCGCGGAGAGCAGAGAGCTCCGAGGTTGGGTCTGCCAGGGAGCTGGGCGCAGGGACCGCGGCGGTGCTGGCGGCGACGGGCGATGCTGCTGCTGCCTGCCTACCCTGGGCTCCACTGCTGTGGGTGAAGGCTCAGTCTAGCCAAACCCAACCGCCAAAGGAGTCCGAAGCGGGACTGGAGTTGGAGGAGAGAGAGAAAGGACGAGGAGGAGGTGGAGGAGGATGGGCTGCGGGGGGAGCCGCGCCGATGCCATCGAGCCCCGCTACTACGAGAGTTGGACCCGAGAGACCGAATCCACCTGGCTGACTAACACGGACACAGACCTGCAGCTCTCAGCTACCGCTACAGCCGCCGGGCTCAGCCCCGGGGAACCGGACAGCGGCCCAGAGGCGGGCGGCCTACGGGACCAGGGCTCCCTGTACGCCGGTAAGTGAGCCAGCTGCCCACCGGGGCCAGGGCTTTCCTCATGCCCTCGCCCTGGATCCCTCCCTCCAGCCTTCCAGGGGCAGCGGCGGAGCGAGGGCGCCCGGGCAGGACTTCCCTCTGGTCTCCAGCCCACAGTCCAGCCGGATCTTTGGGGAGAAGAGGACCGAGAATTAGGATCGGGGGAGGGGGTGATCGAGGGACCCACAGCAGGAGTAGCGACACATGTCACTAGGGTGGCATCCTCATCCAGCAACTCCCTTTACTGGGAGACTTGGTTACCAAAGGCTGACTTCCTTCGCAATTACATACCCAGTTTCTGGGCGAAATCTACTTCTCTCCCTCTCTATTTCGCTGTGCTTGTTCATCTACAAGGAAATAGGGTGGGAAGACATCCTGCTGTTATCATAATGGCGCATCCCCTTATCCCCCCCCCCATCCCCACGCACCCCCAACCCCCATACCCCCATTCTACCTCTGCATCCATGTTTCTCTCCATCTTTCTCTCTAGCCATCTCATCACCTTTCCACCCAGCTAATTTCCTCATCTGCCTAGTCATCTGTTCTCGCCCTGCTTGGACTTGGATCAGATGTTTAAATGCTGTATCTCAGCAGATACTGAAGAGCAGTATTTCTCTTAGCTCTCCACATTTAGGTACTCTTAGAAAGCAGCTTTTTGCCTCTTCCAGAAAGCAAAATTTGAACTTGCTTCATACATTTTATGAACCCTCAGAATACCAAGCAAGAGAATTTCATGTTGCTCTTAGGTTTCCTTGAAAAACTGTTTTGAAAGATGTTTTCCTGCCTGGCTGGTTTATTGTTTTCTTTGAATTCTAGAATGCAACCAGATCATTCATGCTTGTCTGTTACAATTTAAATAACTTCCCAGTACCCTCCTTCTCTAGTGTAAAAGAAGGTGAGACTAAATGATAACAAAGGTCCTTTCCAGGTCTAGTTCCCATGATTTTATAATATGAGATTCTTAAAAATATGCAAATAACTTTCAGGTCCAACCATAAAGTTAGGATTTGGAAAGAAAACAGGCTGATAATAGTGAGAATTGATATAGAATCATTTTACTCAAAGGTGTTCCTCCCTCTGACATACTGGCTGGGTGGCCCTGGATAAGTCATTTAACTTTTCAGTGTTCTAGTTAACTTTAATTCTGTAAGTTAAAAGAGCAGGTTCTGACTTGAATCAGTGGAGGGAGTTTCTCCATATAGGAATTCCCTCTGCCAATGAAATCACAGGTCTAATCTCCATCTCCACCCATCTTATCCGAAGAATCTTAGAGTTGAAGTGACTTTAGAAGTCACCTGGAGGGTCAGCTAGGTGGCCCAGTGGAGAGCTCGTGGGCCCATGAGCAGAGTTCAATCCCAACCTCAGACACTTACTAGCTATGTGACCCAGGGCAAGTCACTTAACTTCCATTGCCTCAAAAAAAAAAAGTCATCTGGAAGATATGCAAGATTCTACTTCTGTAAAACCTAGCATCTAGTTGAACACTTCTCCTCAGAGAGAATTCACTACTTCATTGAGTTGCTTATAACATGTACAGACAGCTCTAATTTTAAGAAAAGTCTACTTTGCCCTAAGCCAAAACACACTTTAGCTTCCACTCATTTGTTCAAGTTCCTGGCTTTAAGAGCTATGCAGAACGAATCTAATCCCTCTTACACAGGACACATCTTCAAATATTTAGGAATACAGACTTAGAGATGGAAGGAACCTTAGAAATCATTTAGTTACACACAAGAAAGCTGAGGTCTAGAAAGGTTAAGTGATTTACCCAAGGCCACACAGATAAGAAATGGTATTTACTTGGAGCTGGGATTCAAACCCAAGTCCTCTGATCTGAGGACATATCCTCCTAACATTTTTTTTTCCTTTCTGGGCTAAACATCCCCAATTCCTTCCATCATTCCTCATAAGAAATTATTTTGAGTCTCCTCATCAACCTAATCTCCTATACTAACTGGCATCATGCTGTGACATTTCACCCACAATTTTCAAAAATTATTTCGTAGAAAAGAGGAGAAAGAGCCAACATTCAGCTGTTTATTACACAGGAGCTACCATCTTCTTTCTCAATCAGTTCAAATCAAATCAAATCTTGGATAACAATTTTCTTGTTTGGTAGCCTGCATGGTTAATCACTTGAATTCTACTGACTCACTGTGTTGTTTCTGCATCTGAGAGTTCATAAGATTATACATCTAGGGAAGCTTATAAATTTTCTGGTCCAATCCTCTTGTTTTGCAAATGAGAAAGCAGATGATCTGCTGGTGTTTACACAGGAATTAAAGTAGTGCCAATAGAATTCTAACCCAAATGTAACTATGTTAAAGCCACAACTTTTCTCCATTGCTTCACACTTTATTTTAGTTCTTTTGTGAAAAATAAAAATAAATGATCAGCCAAATAATATTCAAATTCACCTTAAAAAGAGTGATTTGGAGAGCCACCATAAAATTCCCTTCCAATGAATGTCTCTGCTTCGTGAAGGGACTCGGTTCTAAAGGCGATACCAGCAGATTAAAAACTCTGAGGTCCTACCAAATTGCAGTCACCAAGTATTGGTGTGCCTATTATTCAAAGATAAGCCTACCTAAATTTGGAGAGAACAGAAGATTGTACCATTGAGTACTATTTTTTTTCCTTTTTTTGGAGGAAGTCACACATAACAACTCAGTAATACATCTAATTAAGGTGTGGAGGAGTTAGGAAGTCTCCTACTGAAGAGAGTACTTAGATGAAATAACAAGACTCTGAAGGGAGGGAAATGAAGTCCAAACAGCGAGAAATGATTGGAAAAATCAAGTGAGATGGAGGAACATCCTTATGTGTGATCGATGAGGCCATCCCACTTAAAAGGTCTTTCATCTCCTCTCAGTTATATTTCAAAATCTTCCTGTTTTGATTCATGCTGTCATTCTGCCTTACCTCAGAGGATAATTCCCCTCTTTGCCAAAGTTATCCTAGTCACCTGTGCCCTAGATGCCATTCCTCCATCCCTACTCTATCATTCTCCAGGGCCTCCTTCCAACCTACTTAAAAACATCTTCCATTCTCTCCTTTCCTAAATTAAAAAAAAAGAACATAAAACAAAACAAAATCTTCTCTTGACCTTTTAGCCCTCTCAAACTATCATCTTGCTTCATCTACTAAACTTCTGGGAAAAGTACTCTGACCTTGCCAGATTTTCAAGTTATCATCTACTCAGTTATCAGATCTGTCCAGTTCTCACTCTTCAATATCTCTGTCTCTTCCTCTTCACTCCCACTGCAACTACCTTAGTTCAGACTCTTCGATCTCACCTTTACTACCACAGAATCCTAAGTGGTCTTTCTACCTCCTGTTCTTAACCCCTCTCCAATCCATCATCCACACTGCTGACCAAGTAATTCTCCAAATGCACTGTTCTGATAGTCTTCTTTCTCATCAAAAATCTTCAGGGGCTCCCATTAGCTATCTAATAAGGTGTAAACTTCTGATCCTCATATTTAAGGCCTTCCATAATCTGACTCCAGCCTCTCCAGGCATGTTTCAGTTTACTTCTTTGTGGATACTACTCTCCAATCAAACTGGCTCCCCTCAACCCTGCCCCCCTTTTTTACTGGATACTCATACTGTTTATGTATATGTCCATCTCCCAGCCTTTGCTCATACTGACTCCCACGACAGGAATGGATTTCCCGTTTCCCATTCCTACCTCATAAAGTCTCTTCCTTCAAGGCCAAGTTCAGCAGACACTATGGCCATGAAGCCTTCCCAGATGAAAGTTATTTCTTCTTATAAGTCTCATGGCACTTTGCCCTGCCCGATCCTGTGCTCTTATCATACTCTCCCTTATATCATATGTATTTATGCACTTGTCTTTTCCCTCAATTATTGTAAAGTGCTTGGAAGTTGAGTTTATGTCATGAATATCTTAATGTCCCTAAGTGGGGGCAAAATGCCTTGCACATAATAGATGCTTAGTAAATATTGAATTGAACTGAATTAAAATTGTGTGTTTACGTCCTTATAAAACAGAAATTCCTAACCTTTGTGAGTATGTGTGTGTGTGTGTGTGATGGTCCCCTCTGGCAGTTTGGTGAAGCCCAATTTACACTATTGAACACATGTGAATTTTAATTCAAGTGCAATTCTCCTAGCTCTAGCAATCAGCAGCCAGGTGGAACACCCTCCAAATCTATCATGACTTCACAGAGAGGCAGTGCTTTTGAAACTAGAACCATGAAGGAAAAAATGTCCTTGCTTACAAGACACTTTGTTGTTCAATCATTTCAGTCATGTACAACTCTTCGTGACCCATTTTGGGTTTTTTTTGTTTTTGTTTTTTTTTTGGGCAAAGATACTGAAGTGGTTTGCCATTTCCTGCCTCAGCTCATTTTACAGGTTAGGAATGGAGGCAAACAAGGTTCAGTGACTTGCCCAGGGTTACAGAGCTACTAATTTGTCTGAGGCCAGATTTAAACTCAGGAAGAGGAGTCTCCCTGACTCCAGGCCCAGCACTCTATCCACTGTGCACCTTGCTGCCCCCAAGATACTTTAGTTACTTTTTAATTAAGCTTGGGAGTTGGCCTTTTCCTGACTCTTGACAAAGACAGATTATAGACTTGACTTTGCCACTAACTCACTGTGTGATCTAGGAAAAGGTAGTGATTTCTCCTTCCCTGGGTATCTTCAGGCAGATGCTGCATGACCATTTGTTGGGTGTTTTGTAGAGGGGATTTTTTTGTCAGATACATATCAAGGTAAATTATTGTTAGGAGGTATTCTTGCTTCCTTCCTTCCTTTCTTCCTTTCTTTCTTCCTTCCCTCCTTTCTTTATTTCTTTTCTGAAAAGTCATTTGTAATTATACTCCAAATGCCCCCACTTTATACATGACTCTTCTCTTAAGAGTGAAGTTTTTTCAAACTTTGCAAAAACTCATTCCACTTTATAGTTGTAAATGGTTGTCATAACTCCAGGAATCACACTTATGATACCATGTTTA